TCCTCAAGGCTAGGGAAAAAACCTCTCAAGCTGTTTTTTCCAAAGAACCAAGCCAAAGGCCACATACAGGAACTCATTGCACCACAGATACATAAAAAAATTGTTGTGCTGGCAAATGTATGGAGAAAATGACTCACTGAGCTGGAAAAATAAATTGAAATGTGAATAGATTTATACGACTATTGAACTCAAATTAAAAACATTTAAACATATGCTTTCCACTTTTGGCAAAGATGGACTCATGAAAACCAAACTAGTTGTCGTCAAGTCAATTCAACTCCGACTCACCCTATAGGACAGAGTAGAAGGGTTCCCACGGAGCCGCTGGTGGATTCGAATAGCCGGCCTTTTGGTTAGCAGCTGAGGTCCTAAGCAGTGGGCCTCCAGGGCTCCAAAGATGGATAGCAGAGACCAAATTTACCCTCCTGCCCGAAATACACTCTCTAAGCAAACAAAACCAGGAAGACCAAACCTTTTGCCATCGAGTCGATTCCAACTCATAGCGAACCTATAGAACACAGTAGAACTGCCCCACAGAGTTTCCAAAGTTGTGATTTTTACGGAAGCTGGTTTCCCCATCTTTCTCTCGCGGAGCGTCTGGTGGGTTCAAACTGCCGCCTTTGGGTTAGCAGTCGAGCGCGCTTAAGCACTGCTGCAACGGGGCTCCTGAGCAAGAAAAGACGAATTTTACCTCTAATTTGTTCTCAATCGGAGGATCTAAGAGAACCTTGGATTAGCTCCTCCCGTTGTGGACAAGACACAGGGGACAGGAGGGAAAGGGAAACCTCCTCTCTGCCTTTACGTGAGAGGATCTGCAGAGCAGACACACAGGTCCCCGAATGGGCTTGAACTACCAACCTTTAGGTTAAGAGCCAAACGCGCTAACCTGTTGTGCCACAGAGCCTTTAGTAGCCTGTATTCCTGGTCTTAATAAGGAGGGATTTCTCACTAACCACGAGGCGGTGCCACCCGCTTTCTGTGGCACAACCGCGCGGCTCCACAGTCTCCAAACCCAGACGGGGTGGGTCGACAAATCATGTTGTTCATCATGATTGAAACCTGTGCGCTGGGTGAGTCCGAAGGTGCAAGGGCAGCCGAATGGCCTTCGCCCCTCCTTGCTCCTCGTCCGCCTCAGAGCCCAGCGACCCCCGGAGACCCCCGGGTCTGCGAGCCCCGCCTGAGCCGAGTGGGGCCCACAACCCGCTGCGCCCCGTGGGCTCCGGGACGTCCCTTCGCGCCGTCTGCTCCGCCTTCGCCCGCCCCCAGGACGCCCCCCGCTCCACTCGGTTGAGGTCAGTGGGGCGAGCGGGGAGAATAAGGGGGGAACGGGGACCCGTGAAGAGGAGCGAAGGAGAGCAGGGAGGCGCGGACCAGGACGAGACCTCCAGGGCCCTGTACGGAGATGGGCCGGGTCCTGGGGAGGAGAGAAGGTTTGTTGCGAGGTAGCGCAGTGGAGAGGGGGTTAGGCAAAGAACTCAAAGAAGACTTGAAAAAGAGAGAAGTAAAAGTATCTGTAGCTGTCCGACAACAAAGCAACACATTATTCTGTTTTTACGTCAAAAATATTCAAGGAAGCGCATCATCCCTGAGCACGTTCATGGCGTGCGGTGATGCTATAGGGGTGAGTACTCGTCGCTGCGGCCCCAGTAACCTCGACAGTGTCTGGTGTCTGTCTTGGCACGAACTGACTCCTCTTGAGGTTTACCTTTACTTCTTGCACGGGCTGCACCCCTTATTTGAGGCCATCGAGCGGCAGGACTCAGAGCTGTGAGTCAGGAGAAGGGAAGGAAACCCACCAGTGCACAAACCTGGGGTGCCGTCAACCTTAAACCCTAGACGTGCCCACTAGAGAGCAGAAGGTGAAATGCAGCCTCTCACTGCATCTAATGAGTGTGTGGTCATAACCATTTGTTCTGACTGAGATATTTCAAATACCAGTGTGGCTTTTTTAGACTAAAGGAGAATGAATTTTTAGTGACTTTAAAATACAATCCAAGATCCTTGCATGGTCTACACAGTCCTATCTCCATCCTCCGTCCTCCATGGTTATGCCAACAGTTAATTCTTCAAATGTAGCTCACATAGTGTGAAATGTAAAAATCTTAAGTGGGAGGCTTATTAAAATGGAAAATGTAACCATCACCCAGATCATCTTATAGGAAATTTCCATCATTCCAGCAATGTCTGTAGAACCCTATTCCAATCAATCTCAGACCCACCACGCTTAGAAATCACTATCCTAGACATATGCACACCCATCTTCATTGTTCACAATAGCAAAAAGATGGAAACAACCTAGATGCCCATCAACAGATGAATGGATAAACAAACTATGGTACCTACACACAATG